CCAAGGAAACAGTCACAGCCAACACAGTAAATACAATAAAATAAGCAAAGGAAAAGAAAATATGAAAATGTCTTAATTACTTAAGACAATAACTAAAAATTTGGCACTGTGTGTCTATTTTAATGTAAACAAATAGGTTGTTCAAATAACTTCATTTACATCTCACAAAAAATAAGTAAAATTCAAAACCATCTCACTAAAAATTAGTCTTTCCTTAGTGGATGGCTGTATATGACACTGTGACATCTTTGTTGCTTTTATTTTTTAATTAGGTTTCAGGATAGAGAATTTCATTTAACATTATTTAGCATTTATACATGTTCCTACCAGAGTGATGTTTAAAAATCATGAAATTCAAGTAATAAATAATAAAAAATAAAATAAGCAAAAATAGTAAAAACAATAAATAATATTTGTGTATATTTTTAGCCTGTTCTCATCTTTGTTGCCATATTCACAACGTTTCAGTCATTGTATACTCAGGCCTTCTTCAGCTGATTGGAATTTTAAAATGAACCCTTTATTTCGTCCAATGGGGCAGGCTGTTCTAGTTCCACATGTCATGCCTCTTCAAGATATCTGTTTCAGTTATTTCTGCTAAGTAACTAAACTCTCCATGGTTTTGTTCACCTCTGCTATGGCCAGGTATTGAACTCACAACTGTTTGAGTCAAGTCACTGGATTACTTCAATCAACACTTATCCACTGGGCCATGTGTCTTTGAGTGTATGAATTTTGGGGACTTATAAACCTAATGTCTCGGTAACCATTTATATCAGAGCTCATATTATAATTTGCTGTTCTTATTGTTTTTCTCTAACACTCCCATAGGCCGGCTTAGATTTTTGTGGCCTAGCATATATGCTGATTCCTTAAGTTCTCATATTTTCCAATGATCTTCCTTTCACTCCATATATGATCTGCCACACCTGATTTTTCTATTTCCCCCTCATGTTATGGCTTTACAGTGTTCCTGTAGTCTTATCTTGAGGAGGCACCCTGTTTCTCTTTTATATTTCTTGCCACAGCTGCCTGGGATGGTCTACACTGTCAATCATGTTTTCCTCTATGGGAAGTCTTATACAGAAGAGGCATTTGCATAGTGTTGAACCACTTTTGAAAATCGTCCTGATGTTATATGGACCACAGATCTTTTGTATTTTTCTGATAATCCCTTCACATGGGTAGGCATCCAAGAGTAGGCATCAGAGGTTGTTTATGAGCACCCTTCTATCCCAGTTTGTTGGAGCTGCTGACATGTACCCATATACTGACCATTTCTTGTTCATATGTCTCTGGGTCACCACTTATGACTTTTACTCAATGTTGTAAACAGCATATGATTCCTTTCTATATACCTCAACTACCACCACTATAGGTGGTGGGAGTTGAGGTATTAACCAGTGAATATTGGCTTACAGTATACAAATGTCTTGAACCTATGCTCTGTTTGAGATATTAGTACATCCAGTTTACTTTGTTGTTGTTGTACTGTATCCATGATCCTTTTCAGTTCACATGGTCCAGTAATAGCTGGACCATTTCCTAGTGTGGCCAGAATATGAAAGTGTCATCTCTGTATCTCAGAGTTGGTTTTACTGATATGGATTCTAATGCCATTCCCACAAAGTATTTCCTGTATGTTAGCCATTGCTGGTGATAATGGAATCAAACATGTATTGGCAGGGTGAAGGTTTAGCAATGGGTTCGTCATTATCATGGAATATGGAGTGCTAGAGAAAAATATGAGCTCTGGTAAAAAATGATTACGGAGACAAAAATTTATACAGTCATTTTTTTTTTTTTGCTTTTATTTAATTTTTTAATTAATTTTATAATTTTTATTTCATTTTATTGTTTTTTTTAACTTGCAAAAAATGCAATAATACATTTTGTTGCCCTCACTTCCTCTGTATTCAAACTGTAAGAAGGAAGTTCCACTCATACTGCTTTTTCCCCTCCCCAAGAACAGACACCTGTGTGGATGCTTACCTGAACACTACAACCTTAACCTTTTTTGAGTAAAGATTCAATTGTTACTTATCCTCCATATCCACATACTCCTCACTTCTTATTTCCTATTCTTACACCTCTACCTTGTGATGTTCTAAGCCTTATATTGGTTGAACAGTAGTAAAAAAAAACAAAAACAACAACAACAATCAGTATTACAATTTAGAGTGCAGGTTAAGTTCTGTAAAGTTAATTATGAGAAAAAAAGAGATAGGTTTATTCACAAATACATCAACACACTAGTTGTAGTTTATTTCATTTATTACATGACAATTTTATTTTATTTATATCAGAAAATCTGTAATCTTTCAAAATCCTGAGCCATTTGAAATGGGCTTTTCTTTATACAAAGAGATTGAGATGAGTGTCCACAAAACTAACATATCACAAATAAACAGTAATCTGTGAAAGAATTGAAAAGAGAATAACTGTATATGTAGCGACAAGTGCTTATTTGGTTTTATTTTATCCATTCCAGTTTATATCTACAAATATATAAGTTTAAAATTAATAATCAAGCAAAGATTTATTTAGAAAAATAAAGTTATTGATTTGGCATATTGATTGATGCTACAGACTTTCAAGATTATTTAACAAGTGTAATGTCTGGGATGTATAATACAGTAAACTCATTTGAAATAAAATATTTTAAAATTTTCAGTCTTTCATGAAATTATAAAGGTATCAACACTTAATATTTAAACCCATTAAAATTATTTTATTAATAATACAACCATCATAAATGACACCTTCGACCCTTTCACTTCCTTTGAGATTTTAACACATCTGCTTATTGTAATCATAGTATAACAAGCTTCCCATTGGCTACAGGCTTCTGATTAAAAACTGTACTTCTCTAATATGTCCTTTGTCTATGGTATTAATCATTAAGCAAAATGTATAACTTTATTTTTCTAAATGAATCCATTACTCCATTCTAACATGATTATCAATTCTTAACATATTTGAAGATATGATTTTTAATATGAATTTTAAGCACTAGAATATAACTTTGAATCCAAAATCTTACTTACTGTATGACATATGCTACTAAAGTATCACCTATTCACACAATAAAATTAATACAAACACACACACACACATATATATATATATATATATATGTATGTATGTATGTGAGAGAGAATAAAAACTGATCCCTACCAAAGACATGAAGTGATTTTCAGTATAAACAGTATCTGGAAGCTTTCCATGCTTATGGTTGATTTTCCAAAATAAGCAACTCATGTAAACAATGGACAACAAATTCTCTGATCATTTTATATATATATACAGAGAGAGAGAGAGAGAGAGAGAGCTGATGTTTATCATTGTTTACATTGGCATTGTCAGTTTCATTATATAAATTACTCAAAATGGTACTAGTCACAGTTAGTGCCTATAAAATATTCTCATGTTTTTCCTTTTGATGTAAATTGTATTTATGATAATTGAAATTGCAAGTATTAAATATTAGATTCTATTTAGAGCATTGTTACTGCTAACGCAAGCAATTTATATTTACAAATTAAAATTACAAATTTATAAAATGAACAAATTGAAAATATGGATTAAATTATTAAATAAGGAAAGAAAATAGAAAAAAAACTTTACAAATTTGGCAGGTTTCACTATTTAGCTTTATCAGAATCTTTTTGGAAAGAGAGCAGCATAGAGATGTTTCAATATTTTTAATTCTGTGTTTGTTTTCACTGATCAGATTGATGTCACATGTTCATTTTCTGTAGCATTTGTATGTGTGCCTTAATTCTTAAGAGTGAAACACGTCAAATTTGTAAAGGTTTTTTTTTTCTATTTTCTTTCCTTATTAAATAATATTTTTAGTTATTTTTCAAGCCTATATTATTTTTTGTCATGAAAAAATTAAAATTATATCTTATTTAGTGGATACACATGTTTGACTAGACATATTTTTTTTTTAAACAGTGAAACTAATGACAAGAGATTGAAAATGATTATAAAGAAAATGTACCTCACAAGAGACTGTATAAAAAAATAAAATACACACAAGGGTGTCCATTCAAACATGTGTACTCTCTAAATATAGTATTTGTGTGTGCACATATATATTTGTATGAATAAATAAACCTTTTAAACAGTGTTGTCCAATATCTGGTATGCTTTTTCATGCCCTCTACAACATTCGTATTTTTTACTTCATTTTAACTCATCTAATACAAAGTCACAATTATAGATAAAAATTTATTAATCTTTTAACTTCAAACCTCAACTCAATTAGCTAATTGCAAATATTCAAAAAAATCCAATAAAAACCTAACAAACAATAATATTCAACTTCAACAACTGTTAAATGTTAACAGGCATACAGTGAATTATAGATTAATATGATTGTTGGTTTTTAATTTGTAATACTTGTAAAATATATTTAAAATTTGATTTATGGTTTCATGAAGGAATTAGGAAATGTGAAAAGCAAAATTAATTAATCAAGTGTTGATCAATATAGTATTTTTTGAAGTTCAACTAACATCAAGGGATACATTTTACATTTTAATGTCAAAAACGCAACCTTTTTAAACCTTTTCACAAATCAGAAAAGGTTAGTAGAACTCCCTAAACTGAACAATCTATTGTACAAAATGTATATGTTAATAAAGTAGACTATTATACTGATTTAATTTATTCCATTATTTACTTAATTTGACTTACCTCTCATTCAATTTAAATGTGGTTTTGGAAACTTTAGCTATTTCAAAAGCATGTTAATATAACTTCTCAAGTACAACGAATTAAGAGCAATAAAACACTAACATTATTTTTCAACTTTGAATTTTTCAACAAAAATTCCTCTCATCCATTTTAAAACAAATGCCATTGAAGATCTCGAATAGATTGAATATACAACACTATAAATACCACTCAGATTCTGACTGCACTATACATTAACTAGTATGAACAGACCAAATATGAATGTTTTTAAAGGAATAAATAACAATGGCACTTACATGAATCTTGCTAAGTTTCCTTTGCAATTTTTCCATAACTTTATCAGTCCAAGATTTGTCTTGTAAAAAATCCCACAGACAACGCCCAATCAGAGCATTTATCCAAAGAAGCTGAGGCTCACAAAAGTCTATAATGCTAGGGGGGAGATCAGAAGTGGGTGTCTCTCGAGCAGTTGGGCTACTTGGAGTGGTAGAAGCAGATACAGTGGACGATTCCCGACGAGACTTAGAACTGGAAGAATTTTGCTTATTTATCTCGGATGTAGCTGGCATCAGCTTTGCCATATACTGAGAAAACTTGATAATATCAATTTGATAAGGTTTTTCCATCCTGGGTGACTGATTGGTTGTTGACTCAACTGGTGGAGTGGAGACCACAGATGAGTTTACAGAGTCCATTGAACTGTGACGCCTATGCTTGTGTATGCCATTGGTGACCGTTATATTTGTATCAGAGTCACTGCGTTTATGGTGAGGGGGGTCTTTAAGAGATTTTCTGATTTCCAGAATATGGTTCTCAAGTGGATTGCCTTTAGCAGCAGCCTGAAATCTCTTGAACCATTCTTCCTTCTCACGGCCAGTGCGTGCAAAAAGATAAAGGATGCATGAATTACAACTTTGCTCAGTAACCACTTCAAAGCCCATGTCAAAGCTCTGTGAAAAGCTATCAACTTTAGATAATTGCTTCTGTGGTGTTGCAGCAGATTTTTTTAAATTAATCTCAGATAAGGCAATACATATTGGGTACTTCTTGCTCCAGAGACGTTTCTTGACCAAGCCTGATGGCTGTAGAAACACTCTACTATCCTTCATATCATAATGGCGCTGGTGAATAAAATTTGGAGGAGAGAGGATCTCATCGTACATAGCTCGTCTAGGTACATTGACCTTGGGGCTAGAAAGACGCAGTGACACTCCTTCAAGTCGAACATACACAGAATTTGTTTTATTGATATGGTAATTATCAGGATCATAATAATACAGTTCATTCATCCAACCCTGAAAAGGTAAAAAAAAAAATATATAAGATCATTTAATAGACTTTTAAGAGAAAAAAATGTTACAATATTTGATGCTACATAGTCTATGGTTCAATTTTAGGTGCTTGATAAATAAGATCTATGGAGAAGTTTCATCAAAGAGAAAAAATAATTCAGAACTTGGTCCATAAAACTGCAGCAAAGTTCATTCAAGAGACATTCAAAATAAGTGGATTCTTTAAGTTTTAGTTGGAAGAAAATTTAAAGAATCATTGTAAATTATATATAAAAGCTCTTCTCTTATAGGTTAAGCTAACAATTGCACTTTTAACGAAGTAGTTATATTGTTCTGAACTAAAGTATTGTATATTCCAAGAGAAAAGTCTTGCAAATCCAAGCACCACAAACAATTTAGTAATCCTATTGAGAAAGTATATTCTTTGAGAACATAAATAACTGTATGGGTCATAAAACGTAAAAATTTCAACATCTACTTATGTAACAACTTTGGGAAACAATAATTATACAAATGAAACAACTGTCATTTTCTCTCATAGTTTTAACAGAAGTTATGTTTCTCTACTTATTGATATACAACATAATAAACAGCTAATACTTGTGACAAACCAATATAGAGACCCTCATAATTCATTGATTTGCAAGAAACAAGTTGATGAAAGCTAAAGAATTAAAAAATACAAACTTAGATTTAACAATTTGTTTTCTGAATAATTCTTTGTGAATAAAAAAATATCTGCTCATGTTCAGATGTTTGAAGATGCGACCAGGTTTTCACACAACTGAATTCTAAATCAACTCATACTTGCTTAAATTGTAAATAATGAAAAAAATCTAACTGCAATTATGAATGACATTTATTAGGTTACTGCAAATTTTTCCATCATTTTTTAACAAAACCTTTGATTCATAAAAATCCATATCATTATTCAGTCATCAAGCATTTTACTGACTTTCTATGATTATCTTGCCTTTCAGACAAACAATCCCAGTTTTGATTCTAGGAATTCTTCAACTGATAGTGACATTTTGAAAGTGACAGGTCTGAAAAATATGCCAAATGTGAAAGCATTTTCAACTGAATTTCATCATTTGTTGCATTGCATTTTTAAAAAGAGTGTTATGAAACAAAATCACTAGTTAACTTTCTTGACAAAAAAATGTTTTCTCTTCTAATGAATATTTCAAACAACCTAACTGTTCATTGTAATTCTGTTCAATAACAGTTTATTACAAACTACCACAACAAAGAATTCTTTTTAAATCTTAGCAAACCAGAATTTTTTGAAGTAGATTCCATTTAGCTTGATATGTAAAAGTGTAATGGACATGGCCTATCTCCCTGACAAAAGAGGCACAAAATAGCCTGTGCTATACACAGTCATGTAAATTACCTAGTACCTTAGGATTAATTAAACACCTGTAGGTGGGTGTGAAAAAAACTGCATAACTGACTGAGGCACACATAAAAGCTGGCAGATTTTTTCTTTGGCTGAAACAAGGATTATGGACAGAGTGTGTAAACTTCTCTCTCAAGTAGTTTGTAACACATTGATACTTACCAGGCGCAGGGACGAATCCCTGCATTGATAGTATCACAGTTATGACCAGCTTGGAAAAGCTATGATCAGCCAAACACAAGCGGCCCAAGTGTAGACACTCGGGTTCTCATGTTAAAAACCAAACCTTGTGTCGCAATCTGGGGGGTCAAGTAAATACAAACAAGGATTATAGGCAGAGTGTGTAAACTCCTATCAAGTAGTTTGTAACACATTGATACTTACCAGGCACAGGAATCAGTCCTTGCACTGGTAGTATCATGGCTATGACTAGCTTGTACTGACTCTAACAAGCTATGACCAGCGACCCAAGTGAAGACACTCGGGTCCCCACATTAAAAATTACCTCGTGTCATAACCTGACTCAATTATTTTGGCAAGTAAATACAAACAAGGATTATGGACAGCAAGGGATATGTTTGAACGAGCCAGCTGTGAATTTCAAGACAAAGACATGGCCGTGAGGAATGTGAAATGGATTTAATACAGGTAAATTACTAGGAAGAAACTAAGGTCTAATCATAATTTTCAGTTCCAGTATCCAAAAATTACTTTTTCTACAGAGAGAAATGCTGAACAAGGTTTGTTCCTGTCATTTTATATAGAACTTGATTCAATGCAGAAGCTTAAAAATACTCTTGCCCAGCCAATTTCTAAATGGTGCTCTAAGTCAACACATTTTACTTAACACACACCCACAACTTGCCTTTCATTGAAGAGAGGCCACTTCCTTTTCATCCTAACTGACTTTAAGATGATATATAAAAGGACAAAATCAGTTGAGGAGAGGAGAACTTCTTAACAGATCTAACAAAGAAAAAACTAGATAGCATAGCAGAGCAAAGGAATGAAAAAGAAATTGCCCCATGCAACAATGGAAGTCATTTGTGTTCAGGTTGCATTTATTATCATTGTATAGTTTTAGTATTTTGTAAGCAATAAAAATTGATTAAAGTGTTAAAATAAATAAATAAAAAATACCCTAGCATAATGGAAATATATATATATATATATATATAGAGAGAGAGAGTCGACAACAAATTATTTGTACACCTAATTTTGAATATTTTTATCCATTTCTCAGAATCTAATGCCCGTATGATGCCAGGTTTTTTTATATGTTAATAAGTATAAAAAAGGAATATAAAACTTAATTTTCAGAACAATAGGTTTAATACAATAAATTTGACAGGAAAATTATGCAAAATAGGAAAAGACTGTGTGTGTATATATATATGTGCGTGCGTGTGTGTGCAAATATATAGAAAAATAGGAAAGAATATGTTAGGTAAATAATCTGAAGTTCTTATAATTATTTTTTAAAACTATGATTCTTTCACTACATAAGAGTTCTATTTCAAAAACAGGAGCCAAAAACTGCAATATAATTTTTAAATTTAAATTGAATTAAAGTATCAAGCTCTGTTTCATCCTCAAGCGAATTTTTTGGAATAACTAATCTTGAAATTTCTGCAGCTTTATAAGCATATTCATTCGTAAAATTAACTACTATGGAAATGGTTGACACAATTATTTCAATAAGGGTTAACAGTTTATATCAACATATTAGTTACTTTTGGAATAAGGTTAAGTCAAGGTAAGTTCTGAGTGTCTATTTTAAAGCGAATGATGACATTCACTAGACGCATATCATCTAGTCTGTTTCAGCGACAATTATTGGCATTATTGTTACACCAATAAATGTCTAAAGATTTTTTTTTCTAAAAGTGTTATTTGTATATGTGTCGTATTGAACTACAATTTGTTTGAGGATTTTCCACTTAACCTTAGGTGTTTTGCTTTCTTCCTTCAGTTTCCACAAATATTTAGAAAGCGAAGTCATGTTGCGTTTGCTTGCATTTGTAAAAGAGGATATGTAGTTATAATATCTCTTAAAATCATTCCTAGTGGACCCAAGATACATTTATATTATTACATTTTTCATTGATAGATTGATTATATATATATATATATATATATATATATATATATATATATATATTATATATACCCACACACACACACGCACAATGGATTTCGTTAGGCACTTATTTGATAATAGGCATTGGTCTGGAATTCTACAATTACATAGTTTGGTTATCTGGTGTATACTAGAATTTGTGTTCACGTTGCATTTATTATCATTGTATAGTTTTAGTATTCTATTGTTGTGCATCTTAATAATTTTGTTTAAATTTTTAGTACAACTATAACTGATTTTGAGGGTATTATGGTTGAAAATTTGGCTTAATTTACTTTTCTTAGGAAAATGGTTATCAATCAAATTTAGAAATTTGTGTCACAATTTGGTACAAACTAGTTTATTGAAAGGAGGTGTATACCAAATTATCTTCCTCCCACTATTCTTCTTTCTTGAATAACTATAATTTTCCATGTATTTAATTTTGGAATAACTGTAGCTGCTGTTGCTCAGGACTTTGTTGTAAAGAATTTTATGTTTATTGAATAATTCTTTGCTAGAAGAGTGTTGGTTAATATGGCACTCTACAGATGATGGGATATGTTTAATAAACAAGGTTGGGGGATTGGAAGTAGGATTTATATAAATGGGGTTAGTGTTGTTTTTCAAGAAAGGTTGAAAATTATTACGGGCTAGGTTTAAAGTTATATCTAAGATATCTACTTGTTTCATATTAGAATTAATTTTAACCCTGAGGTGTAAAGATTTAAACACCCTATGAATTGGTTTTCTCAGCTTGTCTACCTTATTTCCAGTAGAATTATTATCATTAGACTATCATCTATATAACCCTATATCATTCAAGTTAAGTTCCCCATATGCAGTAAGATTGTACAAAACAAATAATCCGACCAAATCTGACGACTCAGCAGAGTCCAGTGATCCCATAGATATGTCAAAGTCTTCATTTGAATTTTTTATCCACTGTTCGTTGTTGTAGATTATTATTGATTTTCTGCAATTTAAGATGATGTTGATTTCATCCTTAGAAATACCGGAATAAAATTCAGCAAAGTCCAAGGCCATTTTAAATAGGTTCTTGGATATGGATGGATAAAAGTCCACAATGTCAAATTGTACGAAAGTACAGTTGTTCTTGTTGTTAAGTCCTTTAAACCAGTCAATCACTTCTGTAGATCTGACCCAGTGGATGAGACAGAATTGGTTCTTAATCTGTACGTTTACATGCTCTTAGATCATTTTGTTGATTCTCCCAACCTCAGACTTAGTCAGATTGATAATCCTTGTGAAGTTTGAACAGCGGCTACAGTTATTCCGAAATTAAATACATGGTAAATTATAGTTATTCAAGAAAGAATAATAGAGGGAGGAAACTTATATTAGCAGTCCACACCTTCTATGTCTTTTTACTTACATTTTTTATTATGAACTAAAATTTATTGTAGTATTTTTTAAAAATAACTTACATATTTTTTACATACTTTTATTAATTTACATATT